TATTCTTCTCTCTCGAGGTCTTCTTTCAGGGCATTCCCCTATTCGTATTGCCTGCTCCTACATATATGAGAAGGCGGGTCCCTCATTTGGTTTTATTTGTAGCACGGTGACACATTTTGCTGCCCGCACTTTATTGCATATCGTTGTAGTTGTCGCTGTCGCTGTCGCTGTGTCCCTGTCGCTGAATACTGCCGGACGGAGGAGCAGAGGCGGAACAGAGCGTGCCATTGAATTTTTTATGAGAATTTAGAGCAAAAGTTGCTCGTTTCTTTGCTTGTTGTTGGAGTCGGACGGACTCCGGACTCCGTTTTTGTGCTGCTGTTGCACTTTGGAACTTTAATTAAATATTTATTTCAATCATTTTCGGCCAAATGGAAGGAGACCTACGAAATCCATTCAATGTCAGAGTGAGATCTCACACACACACACACACATGCACAGCGGAGAGGGGGTGGCCGGGGGGGACAGGGCACTAACATTTGTCATTACACATTAATAGCGCACCATTAATCTTTTTCGGACCGGGTCGGAATGGACGCCAGTTCCGGGGTCTGGACCTCGGCCTGAACCTGAACCTGAATCTGAACCTGCGGCAGTGGCAGTGGCAGACGTCGTCTGTCGCACAAAACCGTTAATTAATGTATGCCATTTAGCTGGAAAATTGCAAAAGGGAAACACTCTCACAGACACGTACACGAATCTAGAGATGGCAGTCGGACGAGAGGCACGAGGATTACGAAAGGAGAGTCCTGCGAAGCCAGAGATGGCACTGTGATAGACCCAGGAAATGGGGCAACTTTTGTAGTGCAAAAAGTACGAATTGAATGCCCTTTTTGGAGGCTGAAATCTGTAGCCCAATGGCCATCGCTAGACCCTCAATCACGCTGCCACCACTGCCGCACATGTGTTTTGCACGGCCCATCATAATGAGCGCCAATTTAGTGCCCTTTTGAAGGGGTTGGTGGGGCGGGGGGGCCTTGTGGGGTGGTGGCTGGAAGGTAGTCGACTGAGTGGGTGGATGAATGGGCTTTGGTTGGCCGGCGGGGAGGTGGGGAGTCTTTGTCGCCACCGCAAACAAGCAAAGGCAAAAGCCGCAGCCGAGCAGCCGAGCAGCGACGTGGCTGAGCTCCAGTGCCCAGCAGGTATGCTTGATTAATGCTTTATAACAAGGAGCGCACACACAAAGCCCACCCCAGTCCCCCTGCCCCTCCCCCTGCCCTGCCCCGCCCGCTCTGAATGCACAAAGGACCCCCAAACACCACACTCATTGGCATTTGTGTCGCAGGCATCGTGCCTGCATTTTAACATTAATTTAGTGGAATTTAGTGCAGAAAACGATGGAAGCCTTTCAGCCACAGCCTCGACACATGTTAATCCCCAATCCTGCCCCCCGAAAAGCCACGAAAACGGTAATGAGGAACCCTTGTAAGCTTCGATTAAGCATCGATAGGGATTGAGGGGAAGGCAATGGCATGGGCACTGTTTCTTCTAAAACTTTGAACTATTTTCAATTTATTTGTAACCAAAAATAAAATCACAGGCCGCCCTTTATCGCTTGGCAGGCGGTTTCTCCTCTGTTGTTTCGGTCCTCAGGGACGATTTCCGTTTCAAGGGCTTCAACGATCTCCGCACCGAGTTCCTCACTCTATCCCTGGAATTACAAACAATGGATATAAATATTAAGAAAATTAATACAAATTATTGTCCCTCTCTTTCCACTGGCTCATAGGAAATCCTTGCCAAACGAGTGAAAATGAAAACGATTTTCCCGCTTCTCCTGCGGCGTTTTTTCTATTTTTTTTTGTTTAATTTAATTAAGAAATTACAAACTCTGCGACAGGCCCGATTATTATTATTTTCACTCCCTCACGCTGCACTTTTCTGCACGTTTTTTTTTTGATATTTTTTTAAATGTAAAAATTCTATTTCTGCTGAGATTTTTTGCCCTTGAGTGCTTCCTGTGGCGTTCGTTCATTAGGCAAAAGCGGAAGAAAGGCAGCGAAGCGGCAAGAAAAAGTGGAAAAAAAACCGCCAGAGAAGGCCTGCTCGACCAGGAAGTACCTGGTAATCATGGGAGGACTTTGGGGGGAAGAGAAGGCCTGCTCGATCAGGAAATTCCTGGAAGACTTCAGAGAGAGACAGGAAGCATTGCCTGTAAAATCACATGATATTCAGGGAGCTCCCAACACAATATACCCCTAGTACCCCCCATTCGACTGTGGGGTATATGGAAAGCTAAACCTAAAATGAAAAGTGAAAAAGTGAACAAAAACGAGGGGGAGAAGGAGGAGGAGCGAGAGTGTGTCTAAAGAGTTGAAAGGTTTATTCACTTTGCCGTCTGGTGCCTGGAAGGGCGGCCATGGTAATGGAGACACATTTTCCGAGCTGAACATTAAGTAATTATAAGTTGGAGCCGGGAGACGGCAGTCGGGAGCCAGGAGTTGGCTCAAAAGTTGCAAGTTGGCATTCTGCATCTGGCCAAACATATTGCATGCCGACAGACACTGCGTATGCGTAATGTGTTGAATAATTAAATTGTCAAACAATTGCCTTCGAAGGAGAAGAGACGGGAAAATGTTGACTCTTGACTGGGATTGGGCTTGGAATTGGAATCCATTGTCCGACTGGCTCTGCTCTGCTCTGGAAAATGCTGCTTAATCATCTTTAATTGAAGAGCACTTGATGCCACTCGATGGAAATGCCAATTGGGGTTGGTGGGGCATTGTTTCTAATCCTGTTTTAATCTCCATCCGAATTTGCATTTAGTTTTTGTGGGAATATTTATGTGCTCGCTGATGGGTTTGCAATCATCAAAATGCTTTCAATTAAACTGTATTTATTATTCAGCAGCAGATAAAACAACAATCAACTCTGGTCTTGCATCTCTCTTTTTTTGGCAGCGAATTTTGTGAGCAAACAAATTTTAATTGAATTTGATTTTGTTCATTTGATGGCCGCCAAAGAACTACCAATATCGTGTTTATGATTTCTTTTCAACATTTATTTGCCTGGCAGGAGGGGGGATAGCGGGAGGGGGAGCTCTCTATTCAAGTGGCAAAAGCTTTTAGCCAGATTGGCAGGATTTCCTAAAGATTCCACCGCAAATCTGTTGAGTAATGAACAGACGATTCGATGTGTGTGTGGGCAGGTCCCTGGACGTTCAAGGATTAGTTTGAGAGATGAATATCCATCTATTTATGAATATTAATCGTTATATGTACAGAGAGTTCCGTTTTAAATGTATAATAATCGGGGAGCTGCCCAGGGAATGTGCCATCAAGGGATTGGACTCCAAAGACGACGAATCCGCTTAGGACACTCCCAGTTTTGGGCATGGAATGCTCTGTAGAGGTTAACGTTTTAATCAGGCGTATATTACCGTGTATTCCTGCACTTTCTTACCAGTTCCTGCCGCCACCTCCAGCTTTATTCGGATCGCCAGCGTCGTCCGCCCCGGGCCCGTTATCATTATCGTCCCTGGGCTCCGGTTTAGCCTCGTCTTTTCTCTCAGGCTCGGCTTCTTTTGTCTCGGGCTCCGGTTGTTTTTTCTGCGGCTGCTCTTCCTGTTTCTCAGGCCCCTCGTCTTTTTTCCCAGGCTCCCCTTCTTTGCCCTCTTCTGAGCCCTCTCCTTCGGTCTCCCTCTCTTCGCTGGACTCTTGCTGGGCCTGAGACAAGCTCGACCTTGCCCTGGGCTTCGGCTTGGGCCTGGGAGGAGGCGCTTCCCTGCTGAGCGGGGCAATGCCGAACCATTCGGGCCTGAACTGCGCGAGTGTCTCGAGGCGCACGGCCGCCCGCTCGGACCAGCACTGGGGCAGGCCCTTCTCGGGCACCATGACCACCTTCAGGCGGGCATCCGATGCCGCCTGCACGCCCTTGATGGTCCCGTCGAAGACCAGCGTGCTGCTGGCGTCGGCCTCCCCCAGCCGGGACATGGCGATCAGGTAGACATCCGGCTCCGGCTTGGGCTGCTTCAGCTGCGGATCGTCGGCGCAGACCAGCGTCTCGAAGTGCTGGAAGAAGGCCTCCCGGCCGCGGATCTTCTGGCAGTAGAGGGCCTCGCAGCTGGAGCTGATCAGAGCCATGCCGATGCAGCACTTCTTCAGGTGGCGGACGAGGCGCTCCACGCCCTCCATCAGGGGCGGATTGCCGATCAGCTCCGAGGCCCGCTCGTTGACCTGCAGCAGGAAGTGCTCCCAGGACACGGGTATCCTGCACTTGCGGACAATCAGCTCCGCCATCTCGCCCGTGGCCATGACCCCCACCTGCAGCAGCAGCACCTCCGGCACCTCGCGATTGTAGCTGGCCGCCAGTTCGATGAGGGCTCGTCGATAGACGTTGCGGGTATCTATCATTTGGGGAGTTGCCAATTAGGATTCTAGGGCAGTGGAAAAACCTCTCACCGAACACCGAACTCTCCAGATCGAAGATGCAGTAGCAAATGTTCGGCTCACAGCAGCTGGGGGCACAGCCCACGGGTTGGCAGCATCTGTTGCACATTCTCTTACGTGACGAAGGAAGTTTTCGTACAATTTTTAACAATTTTCAAACAGCATTTACCGAATTTTGTACACATAAAACTGACAAAGAATTTCCAAGTCGATCAAAGCTGGATATGACAACATTTGGCCCCCTCCCCCCCACCTATATAATGTACAAAATGGTTGGAACAGTCAGAGCAGTCCAACAGCTGACAAATTTGTGTGTTTCCAACACTGCCAGCCGGCAAAATTTAGATCTGGACCGAAAGCATCGATGTTTCTACAGCACTGCTGCGATATATATATAGAAATATCCTATATAGAAATTCAGAATCCAAGAAATTAAATATATATTTTATTCAATTTGTTACGAATTAAATGGCTGGATTTTCCTTGAATTTTATGGTTTTTTGCCTTGTCGTTAGCTATCGATACATCATGTATCGCAATGCATTCTCAAATTCTCCCATCCCTAGCCGCCCAAGCGACGCATCGAAAAGCATCTGGCAAAATTTCCGAATACTCTGTAGAACGCGTGGAAAGCCTGCACTTGGGAGCCTGCAGAGAGTCTGAATTGCCTTCGAAGAGTCGCTAAAAGCCAAAAAGCAGCCAATGAAGCGGCGAGAAGTAGGGTCACCAGCCAAAAACACACGCAGCAAGCGCAAGACCATCATGGAGGGGGCCGAGCCGTTCGAGCGCGGCTTGGAGCCGGCTAAGATACTGGGCGCCAACGTCAACTCGTCGGGTCAAATCACATTCCTGATGAAATGGAAGGGCATCGACAGTCCCGATATGGTGAGTGCCAAAGTGGCCCACATAAAATGTCCACAGCTGGTCATTGCCTTCTACGAGGAGCGCGTGGTCTTCGAAAAGAAGGACAACCCCTCTGGCAGCACTGCTGGCGGATCAGACGACGAACAGGAAGAGAATGACGAGGTTAAAATCGAGATCAAAACCGAGGCCGAGAACCAGAATTCGGACGACGAGCTTTCAATCGGAGAAACCTACAACTGAGCATATTCCCCATAACCTCACAATAACCTATACAAATTGAATGTTCTAGAAACGAATAAAGCACACATCTCCCATTGTTCTTGTATTTTTTGCATTTTATTGTGGATCTCAGCGCCTAAGTCGGAGCTTGGTCCTCGACGCCGTGCCGCACAACGACTAAGCCACACAATTTTCCATCACACCAGGAGAGTTTCAGATCCAGCGGCTGAACCGCCACCAGATTGTCACCTTCGCCATGCTCGGCCTCGGCAGCACCGAGCGGCACCGAGTCGCCCTCCAGAGGCTCGGTCTTTGGCTTGGCGGACGGACACTCCTGGTCGGGTCCGCGCTGCTCCATCTCCCAGCAGAGATGCGGCGTGTACTTCGTGGAAGGTTGGTCACACATGAACATCTTCGAATCGGAGGCTTCGTTGGAGGCATTTTGCTGCGCAGAGTCTTGATTCATTCTGGATCGATCTGGCAAAAAGAATACTTTATTTAGGCGTCCGTTTCACAGTTTTTTACCTCGAACCTACCACAAGCGGAGAAGAAGAAAACGCAGTCCCAATTACTTGCCAATTGGCAGGAAAAATCCAGAAGAAGAAGCCACGCGTTTGGGGAAAATTAACGCCATGGAAGGTGGGAAAATGGTCACATCGAAAAATAGTATTTATCGGGTACTACTTGAGGATCTTGAGGTACTCTGGATCATCCCCCCCAATGAATATTCCGCCTTCAAATAAACTCCAAAGACACCATAGACATTAAACTATCCCAAAACATTCTTATTTTCATTTCATTAATAGATATCTACTCGAGTATCGAGAGCTATCGATACCACAAAGCTTGGAAATTGCGAATAATTTTGTGATCTCCGAGAAATTATCTGTGGCTCAATAAAGCGTTCCCGCCATGATTGCCCTTTGACATTGGAGTCTGGCAACATTCCTGCGAAGAGAGAGAGAGAGAGAGAGAGATACATGAGAGACAAAGACACATAATTAGTGTTGGACAGTGTTGGGAAGCGAGCCAGGAAGCTGTCTCTTTCACTTCGGGGAAAATATAATTAGGAAAACCACAAAAGTGCTTCAAGTGTTTCATTACCTTTGGAAAAAACAACAATGGATTCCGGGGATTACGAGGATTCCGAGCATGCCTCTCCGCTGCGCTCTCCGGCAGTGACACCAACAAACTCCTATGAAAGGAGTGCTAGAATTCAGTGGATTCAAAATGTATTCTAGAGCTTGTCAGTACAGGCATCGTCTGCCGATCAGCCCGTTGCCAGTCGCCGCCGCGAGCCCCAAACTCACTGCCAGCCAACATCCAGGATGTCTCCCTCGGCTTTGGTGGGGCCTGGACGTGGACCATCGAAGAGTTTTTTCTATGAACTTTGATCCCCACTTACGCTACACATTTTGAATGGCCAGAAACATAACCCCACTCCCTTTTCATTCTTCTTTGAGAGATCTGAAGGAAGCATCGTTTGCTGTGGTGGATTCTCCTGCAGGAGGCACTCTGCAGGTCTCTTCAGAAGGGGGGCAGTCCAAAGTACTGCGGCCTGAAGGCCTCCAGCGAGCGGAGCCTCAGTGTGGCCGGAGCACTGAGTCGAATGGAGAGCAGGGGATCCGGCACGAGCACAACCTGCATGCCGGCGGCCAAGGCAGCCTCCATGCCCAGTAGCGAGGACTCCAGCACCAGGCAGTTCTCCGGCTCCGGGGGATCCTTGAAGCGAGCGGCGGCTGTGAGGAATATATCCGGAGAGGGCTTGCACCGCTTCACCTCCGAGTCGGAGCCGCCGACGACCGCGTGCTGGAAGACCTCGAAGAGCTGGGCGTGGGGACGCACCTTGAGGTCGTACGACTCTCGACTGCCGCTCGTCTCCAGGGCCAGGGGCACGTGGGAGGCGTGCAGGTGGCGCAGGAGGCGCTCCGCGCCGGGCATCAGGCCCACGGACCCCAAGTGGTCCCGACTGTGGAGCCTGTGGAGGCGCTGGAACTGCGTGCGGCTGAGGGGCAGGCCGTAGCTGTCGATGATCATGTCCGCCGACTCCGGGGAGGGCTTGCCCATGCACCGCAGCTTCAGGTCGAAGCCGTAGATGTGGCCGAAGGGGTCGAGGATCTGCTGCACCGCCCGCGTGTTCAGGCGCTCGCTGTCGAGCAGGAGGCCGTCCAGCTCGAAGATGCAGTGGGTCACGGGTCGGAAGCAGCAGTGCCGCGACGAGGAAACCAATTCCGACATTTTCCTGCGATTCTAAGAGATTCTGAGATTCTATTTTTTTGTTTTTTCTTCTAGCAAACTTTGAATTTTGATGGATGGAATCGGATCGGATAGATTGTGCTCTCTACCCGAACTCGAACTTTGAACAGGTGTCGTAGTGGGGCAGGCCGAAAAGCTGCGGCTCGAAGTCCGCCATCGAGTCGAGCACCTGCGTGGCGCCTGTCCTCTGCTCCGCCGGCACCCGGGGATCGGGGATCATCACCACCTGCATGCCGGCGGCGATGCCCGCCTGCAGGCCGTTGGGGGAGTCCTCGAAGACCAGACACTGGCCGGGGTCCGGCGCCGGGTGGAAGCGGGAGGCGGCCAGCAGGAAGATGTCCGGGTGGGGCTTGCCCCGGCCCGGCCTTAGCTCCGGGTCATCGCCACAGACCACGTGGTGCAGGGCGGGGAACAGGTCCCTGTGCGGCTGCGACTTGGTGTGGAAGGCGGCCTGCACCGAGCTCGTGGCTATGGCCATGGGAATGCGGTGATCGTGGAGGTGCAGCATCAGGTCCTTGACCCCCGGCAGCAGCTGGACATTGTTGATGCGTCCGAAGACCACGGAGTCGAATATCTTCAGGTACTCGACCGGCGTCAGCGGCAGCTGCAGCTCCTCGACCAGCTGCCGGGCGGACTGGAGGGCCGGCATGCCCATGTACCGCAGCTTCATCTCGTACGTGTAGCTCTTGCCGAACGGCGCCACGATCTCGTTGATCACATCCGAGTACATGTTTTCGGTGTCTAAGGAGTGATTGGTGATTGATGGAGTAATCGAGGGAATGTGCAGGGGCCTACCCAAGACGGTCCCATCGCTGTCGAAGATGATGTGCGTGACGGGCTTGTAGCAGGCCCTGGAAGCCATGATTACCCCTTCTACGACTCTGCCACTACGACATGCCGCCAAAGCTGGGATTTAATTTGAAAATTCAATTTTGAATGCCGGAGCAAGGACTACCCCGCTGATCAAAGCCTCTGCTCATGTCTCGAGGGTTTTAATTAAACAATTTAGACGTCGCCTTCTCGTCGGATTCTTGGCAACTTTTCGGGAATCTCCGCCCACTGCGGGGGGCACTGCAGGGGCTGCCGCAGATGTGGCAGAGTTCGGGTTCAGCTGTCATTTTGCTGGCGCCTCTTGGGGCAAGCTGCATTTTTGTATATTTGCCTAAGTCGAATGCATGCGGCGCACGCTTGCAGCGGGATGCCTCCTCCTTGCCTCCCTGCCTCCCTGCCTGCCTGCCTGCCGCATGTTGTTACAAAGTTGCGTAATTGATTAAGCAGCTGCCAGCCAGGCCACAAGACGCAAGTTGCGGCAACGCGTCGCCGAAACTTTGGCTTAGCCAATACGTGCCACCGAATGGGGCAGGGGGGGCAACCAAAGTTTGTTGGCTTCAAACGATGGGGTGGGGTGGGGGTCAAAGGTGAATGCATTGCGATGCTTGATCTCGGGAGGGGGGGCGGACCGTTTAGAGGGGCGTTGAAAGCTGCAATATTTTTTGGGTACTACGAAGTGAAGTGTTACGATGCCCTCAATGTCCACAGGAAAGTGCAACTGTGGCCAATAAACCCCACTGCAGTCGAGGACCCCATTGTCCAGTCGTTCGAGTGCTCAAGTACTGAAGTGGAGCCCACTTTTATTACCTTTTATTGGCACTCTTCGGTGTCGCTGTCGCTGTCGCTGTCTCTGCAGTCGAAACCATTGACCGTAACGCATTAATGTCCTGTGGCCGCCAAAATCGAACCCTGCTCCAGAAGTTTTACGTTCCGGCAATCGGTTTGTGGCCTGCCCGCTCGACTGGCTCCAACTGGCTAACTGCTTGGCTGAGCTTGCATATTTTATGGCCCAAAGTCCAAGTTTAATTGGAACAATACCAATAAATGCCAAATGCAGAGGGCCAAAAAGTTTGATGTGCATTGACCGGGATTCGGATTCGGATTCGGATTCGGAGGAGCCCCAGCGACCGCAAGGCTAACAACGGCTTTTGGCTGCAAGTTTGCGGTCTCACAGAGGGGGCAGGGGGCGAGGGGGTAGCCAACGGCTGTCGTAGACAACGAGCAGAAACCAGTTAACAATTCAATGAACGCAATTACGGCGCACGGGGCGCACGGGACGCCCTGAGGGGCACGTTGCCAGGACAGCGATTAGAGGACGCGTTCAAATTAAACGTTTACAACATATTGTTGTTGCCCAGCCGGCCGTTGTCCCCGTTGGGGAAATGGCTGGAAAAAAGCACCGTCTCTTGGCCATAAATGCTGGGCCGCCCAAAATGGTTGCCTGCATAATTTATGCGCACAATTCGTCGCTGCATTCGAATGATGCTCCACTCCTGGCTCCACTCCTGGCTCCACTCCTGGCTCCACTCCTGGCTCCACTCCTGGCTCTACTCCTGGCTCTACTCTTGGCTCCACTCCTGGCTCCACTCCTGGCTCCACTCCTGGTTGGGGGGTGGGGGGGTGTCCGTCCGTTTAATTAAAAGGCATTTTATTGACTGAAAGACGACGTGTGGGTTGCCAGCAAATTGATTTAGCTGATTTGGCATTTTCCATTCAATTCCGTCAATAGGAAATTAAAGGCGCTGGCAATGGGAGCCAAATCAAGTGAATCCTTAAAGGATCCACCGCAAAGGAATACCAAATTGAATAAATAGTATAATCTCCCAGAGAGTAACCCAATATCCTGCGGCCGACTCCTTTTGGCACTCAATAAATGTTATCCAAAGGCTCAAATGTCAGTCACATATTCCCTCAATCATCAGAAGGACTCCTCCTCCTCCTCCTCCTCCTCCACCTCCCTCTGGGGCCATTTCCCCAAGGGTCTCCTCTACCGACTGCAACACGGTCCCCCCCCCCGGAAAGGGGGCTGGAAAACATGGGCACAAAGTCCAATTTGTTTGTAATGGCATTACTTTGTTTGCGAAACAAATTTTGTATGCATAGCGAGTCCTTGTCCGCGTCGTATCCTCGTTCTTGGGGCTTCTGGGGGTCCTGGGTGCCGTGCAACAAACGATGCAAGAACCCCACTCGCCACTGCCGCGGGTGGCACACTACACAAAATACTACTAGAAAAATGGCAAATAAAATATATGCATGTGTATATTTCTAAAATCGTTGTACCATAAAATTTCCCCAATGGACGTGGCCGGGAGAGGAGTCGAGTCTTCTCCGGTGCTGCCTTTTCGCTGTTTAATTTTACAATTGTCCTTTTTCTTTTCTATTCCTGACCAGGGAATCGTCGAGGAGGAGAGAGAGAGATCTGAGAGTGTGCCTGGGAATGGTTGTTCGGGGAATGTTCGGGGTTTATCTATGCGCATCCGTTCCGTATGCGGTCTTCTGATTTATGCTTCCTTCTTTCTGTGGGCCAGCATTTGTTTTGTTTTCGGTAAACACAGGGAAAAAGCTGCGTGGAAAACCGCTTTTGGGGGTAGAAGCAGTCCAACTGGGTTTCCTTCCTTATTTGGTTAATGGAACTGTCATACGAATTAGATCGGAAGTGCGGGATAGGTGTGGCTTTAAGGATGGAATTTCCACATGGTTTGTGGGAGTCTTCTCCAGAGTCTACTATTCAATGTTTTAAGATTTGATTAGAACCGGTTTCGGATAAGACTAAAGACTATCTATCAGTGTCTTTATCTATCCATCTATCTATCGAATCTATCGCTCTATCGTACTTTAATCAAGTCACTTGTTTCGTGAGGCTTTTACACAGAGTACAAGTGCTTTGCTTTATTCACCACTATATCTATCGTCTATCTATGGGTTCTTTAAAGAGGTTACTTGGTTTCTGAGTCTCCCAGCCCGATATTCCCTATGGAAAAGGCATACCCAGGATTTCGCGATGGAGGACCGATTTTTTTCCATGCGTAAGATGATAATTATTTATGTATTTAGAAGGACTGATTGCGAAATTCATATCAAATAAATTGAGCAAAAACTAATTATTTTTTAAATATTCAACAAATATTAAGGGCATATTATGTTTCTACTAATAAGCATACCCCCCCTTACTGGTTACGCCCTTGGATTAAAGCCAGTGCTTAAGTAATTACTTTGTATTGTGCCTGTTTTTAAGTCCGTTTGTGATAGTTTTGCGAGACTTTGGTCGTCGCACGGTTTTCGTCCGGTAAATGCTCTTTTCTGAGTCCGTCTGCGAGCATTTTGTGAGACTTCACCCGTACCTAGCTATTTTTTCCGTTATGTTTCACTTTTCTGTCCATTTTTCACCCGTTTTTAAGTCCGTTTGTGATAGTTTTGCGAGACTTTGTCGTCACTCGGTTTTTGTCCGGTAAATGCTCTTTTCTAAGTCCGTCTGCGAGCATTTTGCGAGACTTCACTCATCGCTCCCGGATTTTTATCATTTCTAAGTCCGTTTCCGGACATTTTATGATAGTTCCGTTTTACTATCGCTTTTTGGTCCACTGGGTACTTATACTATAGAGACATACATATACATATACTCCCACGCACGGCAGCAGCCTATGCAGCCGCTATCTCTCTCTCTCTCGCTCGTCTTCAGCTCGCGCCTAACGTTAGCTCTTTCGCTTTCGTTATCGCTCGCTCGATCTGTCGCGCTTTGGTTCGATTGCTTCGGCTTTGGCTTCGGTCCGCCAGCCCTCGGCTGGCGCTTGAGTATTGCATCGTCGTGGGAATCCGACACCGTCATCCGACGTTCGTCTTCAATCCGACACCACTGCCGCGTCGTGCTCTCTTTCGTTATCTCTTCTCCGAACCATCGCATCGACTAAACTAAACAATCGTCGAATTTTACTACCATACATATATCTACACAATATACATATATAGTATAGCTCAACGAACCCCCCATTAAGACCAAAATACAATACTCGAATGTTGAATGTGAAAACCTTATTCCGTGTATTAAAGACTTTTCAATAGAATAGAACTTCTCGCCACTTAGTCGTGGCTATTAAAGCATTTCCTGAACAAATCTTAAATCAGAATCGCAGATGTTTTCGTACCGTTTCTCCTAGGCATCTGGTGGACACGAGTGCTGTGGTATCTTGATCATTTTGCTCAGAACAATGCCAGATTTTCTGGCCAGGACCTGGGCCGTGTATATTATATCCGAGGTGGGCAGACGAATGCGGGTCTGGATGACGGCCCAATCTGAAAGGTAGAATGTTAAGATTTGCCATAACTATGGCCATAGGCTACTCTGGCTACTCTGGGACTTACGAAAGCTGAAAAGGTTGTTGGAATCGAAGCACATGTAGCGTATGGCAAAGTTGTCATAGTCCGTGTCCAGTACGTTGATCTGAATGCCCTCGGGAAAGGCTAGACGGAAGAATTCTGGCATTATTGGGGATTGCTTAGGGTTGGGGCTTTTCCTTACCAGAATTTGTGGTTATTAGATCGTATTTCCCGTGAGATGGGTCCACATTTCTAATCTCCTCGACTTTGATCTTCAGTGTGTCGGTCCTGTGGAAGAGATTTTAGAGTAGTTTTTGGTTTGTTTTTCATTGGCTTACTTGGTGCTCAGCTCTGTACGTTTAATCCAGAATTTGTCCTCTTCCTTCTTGAACTCCACCGTCTGGCATTTGGGCACTCGTTTCGAGAAAGTCGGATACACGGAATACGTATACCATTTGCCCAGAAAGCGATCCATGTCCAGGTCCCCCACAGCCGTCATATTCGAGGGGCAAGGACCCTCAAGGGCGATCATGGCCAGGGTGGGGGGTATGTAAATGAGTACAATGATGGGAAAGCTGTTCAAAGATACTTTTAAGGCTATTTATAGGGAGCTCTATGGTGGATACTCACACGAAGAGCTGTGGCATGATCATGATGCAGAGGTTGCTATCGGAATGAATTGGACTTATATGAAATGGAGGGTCTTGACTGAATGGATTGGCCATGGATTGGCCGGGAATAAAGGCTATTTCATGGTCACAAACGTGGTACAGGGGCTATCCGCTTCAACACCCATCGAAAGCCTTCTACAGAGTCTTTTCCATAACCGAAACTATGTTTTTTATTCCATGCTTTAACGAATAATATATCATACTACATTTGATAACATTTCTCTATCCATCTACGTATGTACAGGGTTCGAAACAGTAAATTTAGGAGCTCAGAAAGTTCATAAAGATGTTGTAGAGACGCAAGTAGAAGCGTCGCAGCCATTCTCATGCCTTGTCGATGGCATTGGGCAGCACAGTGCCGACAAACTCATCGACGGGGTCCTCTGTGAGATCCTCGACGCCGAAGTCCGTGCCGTTTGCCGCCAGTTTGGGGCAATTGCTCTGAATGGTGTCGATGAGGAAGGATTGGTTGATTTTATTCTCCTCCAAGATCTTTTTGGCCGACGCAATGGTCTCCGCCGAGGGCTCACGTTCGCGGGTTAAGATCCAAACGAGCTCTGAAAGTGCGATAGATAGATAGATATTTGTAAAAGGTAGCAGGTAATAATTTTCCAGTAGACTTCCTCGTGTACTCACTGATATTAGCCAGAGATGTCACGCTAGTGCAGCTGTAGACAACGGAGTACGACTCGTAGTCGGTGCCCAGAACCAGGTAGTTGGGTTTCGACGTTTGCTCTACAAATTTGGACACAAGCAATAGATATTCAATAGATCAATGAGGAAGAGACATCACTTACGGCCGGGGAAAAAGGCCACAGCCAGCCGGGCGGGGCCTATGACCTTGGCGGTTCCGCTTATGTTCGAGGGGTTGCCAGTTCTGCATAGTTTACACATAATTAGACATGTTTAGGTGTAGATATTCCCCCCCCACTCACATTCGATTGATTCCCCCATTCACCACGGACAGCGTGGCATTGTCGATGATCTCGTAGTCGGCGTAGATGCACTTCTTGCCGATTTCGAATGCAAACGGATACTTGCTGTGCTCGTACCAGATCCCCAAGTACTGCGTATAGTGGGAAGAGTATTAAGAGCTTTTCGACTGAAACTGTATTATATATTAATCTCTATAGGAATTGTTTTTGTCACAACAGCTGGCGGCTTGCGGGTGTTTGTGTTTGTGTTTGTCAAGTGGTTTTAGGTATAAACTAATCAATATATTTGTTTATCTTATCTTTTTGCTAAGGGGTTCCTAAGGGGCCCTCGAAACTACTGTGTAATGAAATTTTAATTAATTTCTGTTTGTGTTTTTCTTTAACATTCCAAACCCATTACATCAGTGGAAGAATATTGCATGCTCTCTGGCGGAATATACTATATACTATACTGTATTTTATTTAGTATTTTCCTGGGCCCTTTCTTTGCCCTTGGGCGGAAAGTTTTACTATCTTTTCTGTGGTCATATAAAATGCAATAAAAGTGCAATGTTTACGTACTTTTGTTATCCGATTCCCTAAAAAACATAATCTATAAGATTCATTCATCAAAGTTGTCCATTTCTTTGCTCTTTTCCATAGTCTTCCCCCCAAAATCCACCATCTACGAATCCTATCCAATCTTTTACCGCCTCTCAGATCAGCTGTTCCCCTAAGAAAGCTTGTAGACCCCCGCCTATCCCCAGAGCGATCTGCAAGGCTAATCATATTACAAATGACACATTTTCGCATCTCTTGCTTTAAATTGTATAGCACCTTTGATGACCTACTAATCAAACATAAAAGCAAAAATAAACACTCACCGAATCCACATCGAAGGTGTCCATTATTTTGACCTCCGGACACTGTCCGGGAAAGGGCACCTGCGAGTGCACCAGCCAAACTCCATTGCCGGCCAGCAGCCCCACAAGCAGCAAGAAATTCCAGCTGCGAGCGTGATTAAGCGGAGTGTAAAGAGCCGTAAGAGGTGGGCAAACAATCAAGAGACTTACCCCGACCGATGATGAATCATTTTAGAGATTATTGTAGTGCTGCTGGACTGTAAGCTGAGCGCCAAGCGATTTCTGTTCTACTTCTGGCTTAGAACTGGGGCTCGACTGCAGCTGCAATACACCTTTATATGCCTTTACATGCGTGCGGGGCGAGCTTTTCGCTCTGGCCGGACGGAGCGCGGAGAGGAACGGAGAGCTTTTCCGTTTGCGCCGACGCTGCCTGACAATGTAAACAAAAGTGAAATGCAGACGATCTGAATAGAGAGCGGTGTCTTTCTACATGTCTACATGTCTCCATGTGTCTCGTTACACTCTCTGGGCGCCGTAGGCGGAATTGTGATTGCAATATTTACATCATTTAATGGCAAACTATATGGTACTTTTTGTGCGATTGTTCTCTATAGATAAGGGCTTCCGTGTAGCCACCGCGCAGCGGCTTGCATATCAATTGTGGGCGATCAACTGAAGTAGTTCAATGTCCTGAAAATGGTAGATGGGTGATGCATATGCACATATATGCACATACATATAGGTATGTCAGCTATGCATGATATATACTCTATATACACATATGTACTCACATATATATCATTCGGTGCATATAAAAAGCCAGTTTTTGTGCTTTTTTAGAAGACTTTTTGTAAAATATGCCCACTGTCGTGTTTCCCAGCCTCCTCCCCCACCCCATATGAGTCATCAAATTCCCAAAATCATAGCCAGTGGTGCAGCCGGCGCAGCCCAATGTAAATCATCTCTCTTTTTCACTCTCTGCACTGCCCACTGTACATACAAACATACATATACACCAGTCAACCCATATGCTCGTATGTTTTCGCACGGCAGCGGCAGCAGCAGCGGCAGCGGCCGTTCTTTCGCCTCTCTATCGCGCCCTCTTCGTTTCTGCTGCAGTTCTCTGGCGCTCAATTTATTGTTCGGGCTCGGCTTAGCAGCAGCTCCGAGCTGCTCTTGCGTTCTCCTTCTATCGCTATCTCGCGCTCTCTTCTACGATTTGCAGCATAGGGCCGTCAGCCTTGCAATTCGGCTTCAGCAGATCGTCCTCTTATATACTTTCGCAATCGTATAACCATAAATAGTGCATTCTTATACTACATCGAAACCTCAGGGTATATTTCAACAAGGTCAGTCGTTGAAATAGATAAATAGATGACCATAGATATTCCCTCGTGATCTGTGCAGAAGGTGGAGAGCATTTAAGCCTATAATGGTACACTTACGGTAGGGATCGCTGCTTCGAATAGGCGGATGGATTAGCCACTACTTTATTTACTCTATTTATTGTTTAAGCTTTAGAATATTAAATATTATTGAAGATTCAAGGGCTTTCAGAAGATCTTCATGAAATGGATGTGTTTTTTTTAATATAACTCGCTGATATGTGATTTACGAGTGCCAAAATCCTACTAATTTCGAATTACTCCCAATATTTACCAGCTCCATTGCTCATTTCAGCGTTTTATCTAAGCTAAACAGAACTAAAATACAGACGAACTTCCTTCCATATAGCGACTCTCAAGGGGAATTCGTTATATGGAAAATTCGTAATATGGAATTAAGTTTTGCAGAATATAGCATTGCAGTGTTCTGGAAATAAATGCGCTATAAAGAAAACTTTTTTGTATGGACGATTGTAATCTTTCTTTTCTTTATCTTTTATCCATAAACATCTCAAATAAAGACCTGGACATTCGTAAATCATCATTTGAAAAGTTCACAGTTGAAGTGATTGGCATGTATCATGTTCACGACTTCGATATCCTGCTTGATCAGGGCATTCTGAGCGGCCAAAACGAACTTTCCTGGTGGCCTACAATGTCTGGTCATTATCCAGGCGCCCACTAAAAGATTGGCAAAATATTATATAGGACTGCTATAGGTCTCACAGAATGTACTCACGGTAATGCTGGTTCCTTCTGTGGCGGTTGCAGGTGACCATGACCACATAGGAGTCATAGTCCAGGGCCAGGGGGTACATTGTAAAGCGATGTGGTCGAGTAGCTGCCAACAGAATGGGTAATCTGTAATCTATTATATATATAGAAATCGGATTTGTGGACTTACGAATGGTTTTTTTGTGCGGCGGATTGTCATAGGCTGTACAGGGAAATTGTGGAGGATTTGTTATTGTTTATTATTCCCCTTGTTGATGTTTTTTAAACACTCACAGCTATTGCGTCGCTTGACTTCGATGCCGCCGGTGTTTTCATGGTATCTTATAACACTCGAACGGGTCATTACTTGTTTATCGTGACTTGGAAATGTAATGTTTATATAAGAAACCATTTATGGATCGTGTGTTGGCTTACTCGTTATCCAGCAGTAGCTCGAATTCATAGAGACGACCCTTGTGGCTTTGGTAGAGAAAGTGCTGGCACTCCAGCATGGGTTCATCGTCGAAGGGATAGAAGGATTGCACATACCAAACGCCCAGGAACTTGTGGAGCAAAGAGGAGTCTCTATCATCCTTAAGGAGAACCAAAGGACGCTCTTACCTTTTGGATATCGAAGTTTTTGACGGGGTTCAATGGAGGACACTCTCCTGGGTACAGTTCCAGGCCTTTCGCACTCTCCCAAAGAAGTATGAGGAAAACTAATACTATAATTCTTCTTTTCAGATTCATTCTTTAACCACGTCTAACGAAATCCGAAGCCAAACTACAAGTAAGTCTAGAAATCTATTAATTACCATAATATTTGGATTATTTCTGCCTGATTTTCCCCTACAAAATATTTCTCCCACACCAGCGAAAGCTTCTGCTCGCCTGTGGATTGCATTCGTGGCGCCCTCCCTGGACAGAATCCACCCGCATACATGCTGGCGCCATCTGTTGAGTGCTTTGTCTCTGTGTGTGTTTTTTTTTGGGGTTGCTTGGGTTCTTTCGAGCCAAAGAGATGAATCTGGTCAGCAAAACCCGTTGACAGTGGCGAGATTTCTGCGGTTTTTCTCTTTGGGAGCTGCAGAGAAGACGAGAAATGCCATTCCCCCATATATTATTAAATTAATTAAATGTAAACCACAAATTGAGTTAAATGTGCAAAAATGGCCGCAGGACAAACGCTGAAGTGGAGAGCTCTGAAGTGGACAGACAGGTAGTCCCAGATGATGTATGTTTTTGCCTCTTGGATGGTGGGTTCGAAGAGTTCTGAATCGCATGGTTTGTGGGTCCCAGGAAACTCTTGGATCCCCTTTCGTGGATGACTAGTGCAGATTTTGAATGGCCAGCCAACTATTCGCAAAAGCGAATTCATAGCGCATTCCCCTGCCTTTTGGGGTCGTGGAATGAAAGGATTGGGGTTGGACGGGCGGCATGCTGCGCGTGTAGTAATTAAATTTAAAATATGTACACATTTACCGGACATCTGAGCTTAAAAACAGGTGCAATGTCTGTGGGTGGGAGGAGTGCAAGGGATAATTTGATCAAAGGCAACCATAAGCCGGCAGCTGGTAGCCTGATACCCTGATACCCTGAGCCTCGTCGGTTATTACAGGCCATGAGTGCAGCCCCCCCCAGACAGAGGCGTCGCCCCAGAGGAGGCCTTAAAGGATACAGCCAGATGATCCTACATTCACTTAAATGTGACAAGTATGGACGGGCCTATGTCCCCCCTGTGGCCCTGCCACTGTTGTGCGTAACCGCATCCCAAAAGATTGTCGTGGGAGATGGGAGCGTGACTCAAAATGTATCTATTTTTGGATGGAAGAGCCCATAATCCTTGGAGGAATTTCCTGGATTTATTTGGTGTGTGAGATCGAAGGCTAGAGATTCGGGGAAAGGGCAACATTCCACTTGTTTGGGGACCCTCCAGCATCTGGGGCGCCCCTCACGAGGGGCTTGTGTCACGGCCGCATATCCATAAAAATCCCTGCACACAATTCAATCATTTTGCGATTTTAAGTGCTCGAATATTTTGCGGTTATCCATTCGCTTCGCTTTATGGGCATTTTGTTGAATGTAATTTGATTTCAACAGAATTCGGTTCTATATAAAAATCACAAAATATCAGAGTGCACTGCATCCTGGCCACAGGACACAGGACAGCACGTGTGTGTGTGTGTGTGTGCGTGTGTGGCTATTTAATTAAGTGGCTACCTTTAAAACCTGCCACCAAAATTGAATTAATTCCGATTTTTGTTGCAGTTCCATTGGGCACAGCCGGGGGTCTGTTGGGGGATCTGCCTGCAATCAACAGATGACATAAAAAAGGACTACAGAGCCGGAGGGGGTGATAACACTAAACTGTCGGTTAAATAACATCCGAGAGCCACAGCGCCACTTGCAACATCAAGTGCGGGTGGCGACACACTCCGACGACCTTTAACCCCAAGCGAGCTCGTGGGAGTAGGGATATAGGATGGTTGGCTGGCAGCAGGGCAGGGGGTCCAGAGAATGCGTGGGAATCACAAAACATGACGCAGTTTCTGCTCGTCTTTGCCTTTGTTCCAGTCGCCGCTGCCTGTGCCTGTGCCCCTTTTTGCATGCCATTCTCCCAGGATATTAAGAACTGTTTCGTTTCTCTTCTTTTACATGGAAAAACAGCCATGCATCAGGGGGAGAGGGAAGGAGGAGGCGGCAGCAGCTCGAGAGATATAGCTAAAGGAATGTTCATCATGGGATCCCTTGGTAGACCGAATATCTGAGATAATTTGGGACCAAGGGAGTTATTGTCTGGCGAATAAAAGTCCACAAGTTCTGTAGATGAACCCAATTTAAATTTAACTGCTGGAAGCAGCAGTTTCTAATAGCTCTGAAGATATTTCCTGGAATCTCTTTTAATCGAATCTTCTTAAATTATTTGTTGTCCCTCTCCTCTCACACATATATGTATGTGTAACTCTCCTACTGCTCATGTACATTGTTCTTTAAAATATATGTATTTTTTGATAGGAGTGCGACTTGCCATAATCCCTAGATAATCCCTGGATTTTCCTTGATTTTTTTCGGGCATATTTGCTCAAATATTGTGTCTATATTCAAGCATTCGATCTTGGGCCTTTGCTTACCCTCAGTACCAATCGTCGTCGAACAATGTACCATCTATACTCCTCCCGAGATGTCCCCAACCAATAGCACCTGAACCAGTGTCAAATGTAGCGGTAGAAGGCCTATAAGAAGGCCTCACTGTAGAGTAGATGGCTTTCTCGGCAATAGAGAGACAAAAAGAAGATATAGGAAAGGATGAGAGGACCTAAAGGAGACAAGAGAATGCTGATCGGCTATCAGCAGCAGGCGAAAGAGAGGGCTGGAGACTCGAGTGCTGGACCTCCAATGGACACTTGATTTCTGACTCCCAAATAATCGTAGAACGGTTCAACATTCATCGACTTCTTCTTCGAAAAATACGTATACAAAACGAAGAACTAAAGGAAATAAAGGGTACTCTACCGTTATTATATAAAACATAGCGATACCTACATAGAGCCGCATTGGCAGTTGGAACTGTCGGTCTATTCCTTAATATATCGGTAGTTATCGGCCAAGCCTTCTAACTCTGTAGTATAAAACATCATGTAAGAGATTTACCTAACTGTTTTTCTATGCGTTTGATCCGTAATATCCCTATCCTTGCCCTCTAACTCTGTAGCTTAAAACATCATATAATAGAACTCTAAATTGCAATCTAACAACGAAGAGATGTCTTTGGTAAATCTAAAGTCCGAGTCTCCGAAAAGGCTCGGCACAAAACATTCCATTATAAATCATTCCTCGAAGGTCTAGGTCTAGGTACTAAAAACTCTAGGCACCCCGCAAACCTCTTAGAATTAATAGTTGTATATTTCTTCTAAACTTATAAATAAATAAATAAATCATTCAAGAATCTTTAAACAACTTTTTTGCATAGATATCAGATCACTAAACAAAACATTCAATGAATGGACTTTTAAGTATGATTATCGCCATTGCCTTCAAATAAACATAAACATTCTCTTATGCTGATATTTCATTTCTCATGAAATTTCTCAGTTTTCAAAGCTGTTCCAGAAGACACTCAATGGAGAGGGATAGAGAGAAAGGGAGAGCTTTCATTGAGCTTTGGGTTCCGAATTCCAAGAAGATCGAGATTATAAGACAGTCTTGAATTGTAAGCAAAGCTTGAAGGAGTGATAGAAATCATTTGCTCAGAGATTTCGTACTTATTTCTACATTCAATCAATCGGAATTGTAAGTATTTCAAACCAGATAAACTCTACGGGAAGTTATAGTTTTCGCATCTCCAAAGGGAGTATCTTTAAGCCCAACTATTGACTGCCAAAAACACCAATTAGTATGCATCGGAAATAGTTCTTTCATCTTCAAAAACTTATCCACATTTTGGATCTTAAATCCACCATAAAAACTCTTACCATCACCTGCCACATGATAAAAGTCATAGCCAAAGTTTTCTTCTATATTCTTTTTGATATTTGCAATCTTCGACAAATTTATTTATTTAGCACATTGTTTTTCGCTTTCTCTCCGCACCCGTACCCGTACCCGTCCCCGTACCCGTCCCTGCCCCCCTCTTGGCATCAGTTGGGGAAAGAACAATAACCACTTGGGGCAGACAACAAAGGGAGACGGAGACTTGAAGCTCGAAAAGTATTTTGATTTGTGAAATGCTCGTAAGTATTGTCGTTTTTCGGTTCTGGCCCTGACGCTGGTAGCAATTTCTTAAATTTTTTATAGCGCATAACCTGTCTGGCACACATGTGCAACCCCCCCACTCCCTGTGCATCATGCCCCTCCCCACCCACAAGCGGGTTTCCTGTACGGCTCAAAGTTACAGGACAAGAAGACGTTGGGGCCTTGTTGGCAACGCTTATTGCATTATCCTCGGCTAGAGACAGACTGGGAGCCAGCCAGAGTCGTGTGCGTGCCCAGAGACTCGTGGATGGTGGGGGGATTGGATAGGGCAGGGCACCGGGAAGATATATCCGCGCCAACTGCCGCAGCTGATGCCACTTTTGGCTCGTGGCAGCCGCGAGCTGTTTGCCTGTTTGTTGTTATGCGGGTTGGGGTCTGAGGAGCGGTGGGGAGGGCCACCAAACTGTGAGGAAAATCATATTCCTCGGGGGACACAACGAAGTCTTTGTACACTCTTCGGGGAGATGCTTTCTCTCAGACTAAAGGGTAATCATTTGGGGATGCCATTATGTCTCTCTTTTATAGAGAAAGACTTGGGTCGTCGTTGTATGGAAGCGAGCGAGTGAGCCAGGGGTAGGCTCTGGAGAGAAGCGAAGGCGTAGGGGCCTGTCTAAAGAAGTTTAATGGATAGATTAGGCAAACCATTGCTCCTTAAAGTACAACTCTCCCGGCATCAGGCTCCCCATCAGTAATTGTTCATCGTTTTCCTCTATAAAACTGCTGTCTGTTAACTGCTTTCCGAATCCTCACTGATCCCATATGCCCATTCAACAAAGTGCAGGAAAATATGAAAATTGGCACGACTTCAGCTGGGGCACCCCCCACACCCCGAACACCCCACCCAACGCCCCCACCCACACACCTTGGAGTCAGTCAGTCAGTCTCCTGCCTCCTTTTGCTGCCAAGAAATGTTAATACGGAAAAAAGCGAACCATTTGCCGCAATGAAAATCGCGTAAATTTCATACTGATTGTAAGTGTCGCTCGCCGTTTTCTTGACGCTGCCACGAAGCCAGAAAGCTGGACGGAACTAGAAATGGAGATGGCAATGGCGATGGCGAAAGAGATGTAGACGGAAATGCCATTGCCCCCCGTCCCCGCCCCCGCCCTGTGACGCCCGAAACTCTGGTGTTGGCTGTCGCCTGCAGATTGTCAGCATTGTCACAATTGCAATTTGGAACGGGCGGAACGGACGGGACGGACGGAACGGAACGGTTGGAACGGGCTTGACATGGTTTGAGATTCGCTGATTTGGTTGCCATTTCAACATTTTGCGGGCATTTACCATAAGAGCCAGAATCCGAGCCAAAAACGTCATTCGATTCGAGCGTTAATGGCCGACCAATACCGACGAATACCAGCTGCAAGTCTTTCAAATTACAAAAGTTTTCTCTAGCACATTTGCTACATTCTTTGCTTTACTATTTTCCCTTATATCCCCTTTATTCTTTTATTTCTTTTTCGGGGGGGTTTTGTGTGTAAAACATGTGTTTGTGGGGTGGCTATAGATTGGGCGGGAAGAGGGGAATCTTTCAGTTCAATCTACAAATTGAGTCACTGTCTTTTGGGTAGCCAGATTTCGCTTTAAGACCTCTCCAATATGCACATCTTTCATATTTCTGGGAAATCCAGCCTCCACTTGCTCTGGCTAATGTTTGTTTTGACTTCTGTCGGAGTACAATATGATTAAAAAATAATTTCGCAGAAAATATTGAATCACGTCGCGTTCCAGAGTCAGAAGCGAACACATTTCTTGTTGGATTGCAAGACGGATGGCATTTTTTGATGGCCAAGAGAATCAAGTTTGTTTTTACGTGCCACTGGCTCTGGAACGTGGCCGACTTGGGCCTGGGGGGATGTCAAAGGTCGGTCGCAGCTGCTGCCAATGGCTGGTGCTTTGGCTATGAGAAATCGCTCGTCATTATCGACGCCTGCGAAAATCCCCCCCCCACCCCATCCACCCCGACAAAGGCGCCATAAATTATGTTAGACCTACATATATGTATATATAGACATCTGGAGCTGTGAAAAATCGTGCCCCAAAAACTTTGACCCGACAACTTATTGAAAATCACTTAGACACACATGTGACGCTCTCGGTTCGTGAGCAAATGAGAACCCAGAGGCTGATGGAGAGGATAGAGGAGTTTCTGGGTTATAATTTATGTTTTTGGGATTTGAATTTCGGTGGAGAAACGCAACCTTTCCCAGGAAGAAAGTAAACAAGTGCAGGCGGGCCCCCAAACACTGCACTTGATAAACGGCCGCTGGAAGGCACCCAAGGATGGGAGACAGAGCCCCCAAGGCTGCTTAATAGACATGACCACCGGCTAAGACCGCCAGCATGTGACGACAAACTCATAATTTATGGCCACATATCCCGGCCAGAGTCAGAGCCAGAGCCAGACCCAGACGCTCCTATCTCTTCCTGTGTGGAGACGGTCATGGGCTTAGTTTGTGCCTGTCAGAGTCGTCTGTAATTGTTTTCCTAATGGACCAGTGCTACGCAACGCAGAGAGACACCGAAAACATGACCGCACTTAAGTTGTCATTGGCGTAAGGGGCGTGGACAAATTTATGAGCACCCCAAGGGGAGGGGAGCAGCAGTCCAGCTTTTCTTCAAAGAAAATATCGCATGTAGAGTGTCTATCGTATCGATAGATCGCTATCGGAACAGGCATTGACACACGCGTCACAGAACACACTGGCACCCCGTCGTATTCGTGTCCAAAATTGACTTGTGTTTTATTTTAGGCCGAAGATAGCAAAATAAAGTCCTTCAGCATGTTCCTCGATGACGATGGAATACCCAGAGACCTGACCTCCGACAACCTGTACGACTATTCGTTTGATCTGGTAAGCAGGAGCCGCAGATCCGGAGGAGCTTTCCGCTTTCCCTTTCCTCACTTTTGTGTGCTTCCAGCACGGCACGATGCTGCTGACATCCGCGGACACGGAGGTTTATATGCCGCCAAAGTGGCACGGAACGATGTACGGCACCGAGGAGATGCTCAACAGCTACCGCCAGAACTTTAATGTGAGATGGGGCCACCCCCCTCCCCACCCGCCTAGAGTGCGCTTCTAACCAACCATTTTCACAGCCGAATCCATCGCTGCTGAACTTCCACGCCCTGCAGCCCTACGAGCCGGAGCTGGTCTGCTGCAAGAAGGTCGTCGTCGAGCTGACAGTGCTGCCGGCGGGCCAGAGCCTGTTCAGCGACGCGGAGATCGCCGTGTTTGTGGTGAAGCTGACCAAGTACGTGACCAACGCGGACGGAAGCGAGGAGGTCGACACGAACACCAACACCCTGATCACCAAGGAGATCGGCACCGAGCTGTGCTTCTTCCCCCACAACCATCCCTACCACGTGCGCATCATGCGCGAGGGCATCGACGTGGTCTACGTGGACGACAGGATCTACAAGAACGGCATGCCGAGCGTCACCTACCAGCACCAGCGTATCTGCAATCTGCTGAGCAACCTGCAGCCCCGCTGCGTGAAGAGCCTCTCGGGCCGCCCCCTGCCGCCGGTCCTCAACAGCGTGTGCCGCGACCCCGACGATGGGCCCATCTAGATTCCACAATACTCCACAGCATACTGTACACCGAACGGTCTATAAAGTGAAAGAACACCCAATCATTCGTCTGCCGCTTTTATTGATATCTGATGGCGACACATTAGTCGCAGTCGAACGGGCCAGCCAGCGCTGTCTGGCTATTGATTTTCGCCAGGCTAATTCTTATGCCCGGGCGGAAATGGGAAACGCGTTGCCACGATTCCAGTGTAATTGGAATCTAGAAGGATCGACTGTCCTTTCTACTGTCTGGCTTGCACTTTCAGGGATGTTGAGCCTCCCCGAAAGGCCTGGAAAGAGGCTTGCAAGTCCCTTTAAAGAGACAGCCTGCAGTGAGAGCCAGCGGCTAGGAAAAACCTCATTAAGTCACAAAATAGTGCCTCAGTTCTTGGACTGATGGCCGGGAAAAGTGTCTGGACATGGCACCAAACACTATCTCCCCCTCGAGGAAAGGCTAAGGTCCTACGTATGCCCCAAACCTACAGCTTAGGCCTTTATGTCAGTTTTATATTAAATCAAATTAAATCCCAGCTTTGGCGGCATGTCGTAGTGGCAGAGTCGTAGAAGGGGTAATCATGGCTTCCAGGGCCTGCTACAAGCCCGTCACGCACATCATCTTCGACAGCGATGGGACCGTCTTGGGTAGGCCCCTGCACATTCCCATTCCCATTCCCATTCGATTACTCCATCAATCTCCATCGATTCCATCACTCCTCAGACACCGAAAACATGTACTCGGATGTGATCAACGAGATCGTGGCGCCGTTCGGCAAGAGCTACACGTACGAGATGAAGCTGCGGTACATGGGCATGCCGGCCCTCCAGTCCGCCCGGCAGCTGGTCGAGGAGCTGCAGCTGCCGCTGACGCCGGTCGAGTACCTGAAGATATTCGACTCCGTGGTCTTCGGACGCATCAACAATGTCCGGCTGCTGCCGGGGGTCAAGGACCTGATGCTGCACCTCCACGATCACCGCATTCCCATGGCCATAGCCACGAGCTCGGTGCAGGCCGCCTTCCACACCAAGTCGCAGCCGCACAGGGACCTGTTCCCCGCCCTGCACCACGTGGTCTGTGGCGATGACCCGGAGCTAAGGCCGGGCCGGGGCAAGCCCCACCCGGACATCTTCCTGCTGGCCGCCTCCCGCTTCCACCCGGCGCCGGACCCCGGCCAGTGTCTGGTCTTCGAGGACTCCCCCAACGGCCTGCAGGCGGGCATCGCCGCCGGCATGCAGGTGGTGATGATCCCCGATCCCCGGGTGCCGGCGGAGCAGAGGACAGGCGCCACGCAGGTGCTCGACTCGATGGCGGACTTCGAGCCGCAGCTTTTCGGCCTGCCCCACTACGACACCTGTTCAAAGTTCGAGTTCGGGTAGAGAGCACAATCTATCCGATCCGATTCCATCCATCAAAATTCCAAGTTTGCTAGAAGAAAAAACAAAAAAATAGAATCTCAGAATCTCTTAGAATCGCAGGAAAATGTCGGAATTGGTTTCCTCGTCGCGGCACTGCTGCTTCCGACCCGTGACCCACTGCATCTTCGAGCTGGACGGCCTCCTGCTCGACAGCGAGCGCCTGAACACGCGGGCGGTGCAGCAGATCCTCGACCCCTTCGGCCACATCTACGGCTTCGACCTGAAGCTGCGGTGCATGGGCAAGCCCTCCCCGGAGTCGGCGGACATGATCATCGACAGCTACGGCCTGCCCCTCAGCCGCACGCAGTTCCAGCGCCTCCACAGGCTCCACAGTCGGGACCACTTGGGGTCCGTGGGCCTGATGCCCGGCGCGGAGCGCCTCCTGCGCCACCTGCACGCCTCCCACGTGCCCCTGGCCCTCGAGACGAGCGGCAGTCGAGAGTCGTACGACCTCAAGGTGCGTCCCCACGCCCAGCTCTTCGAGGTCTTCCAGCACGCGGTCGTCGGCGGCTCCGACTCGGAGGTGAAGCGGTGCAAGCCCTCTCCGGATATATTCCTCACAGCCGCCGCTCGCTTCAAGGATCCCCCGGAGCCGGAGAACTGCCTGGTGCTGGAGTCCTCGCTACTGGGCATGGAGGCTGCCTTGGCCGCCGGCATGCAGGTTGTGCTCGTGCCGGATCCCCTGCTCTCCATTCGACTCAGTGCTCCGGCCACACTGAGGCTCCGCTCGCTGGAGGCCTTCAGGCCGCAGTACTTTGGACTGCCCCCCTTCTGAAGAGACCTGCAGAGTGCCTCCTGCAGGAGAATCCACCACAGCAGACGATGCTTCCTTCAGATCTCTCAAAGAAGAAAGAAAAGGGAGTGGGGTTATGCTTCTGGCCATTCAAAATGTGTAGCGGAAGTAGGGATGAAAGTTCCTAGAAAATACAGTCAACGGACACAAGAGGAAAGCGGTGAGTGGCCCTCCAGGGGCCTCTTCGATGGTCCACGTCCAGCCCCCACCAAAGCCGAGGGAGACATCCTGGATGTTGGCTGGCAGTGAGTTTGGGGCTCGCGGCGGCGACTGGCAACGGGCTGATCGGCAGACGATGCCTGTACTGAGAAGCTCTAGAATACATTTTGAATCCACTGAATTCTAGCACTCCTTTCATAGGAGTTTGTTGGTGTCACTGCCGGAGAGCACAGCGGAGAGGCATGCTCGTAATCCTCGGAATCCCCGGAATCCATTGTGGTTTTTTCCAAAGGTAATGAAACACTTGAAGCACTTTTGTGGTTTTCCTAATTATATTTTCCCCGAAGTGAAAGAGACAGCTTCCTGGCTCGCTTCCCAACACTGTCCAACACTAATTCTGTGTCTTTGTCTCTCATGCATCTCTCTCTCTCTCTCTCTCTCTTCGCAGGAATGTTGCCAGAGTCCAATGTCAAAGGGCAATCATGGCGGGAACGCTTTTTTGAGCAGTGCCACAGATCATTTCTCGGAGATCACAAAATTATTCGCAGTTTCCAAGCTTTGTGGTATCGATAGCTCTCGATACTCGAGTAGATATCTATTAATGAAATGAAAATAAGAATGTTTTGGGATAGTTTAATGTCTATGGTGTCTTTGGGGTTTATTTGAAGCGGGAATATTCATTGGGGGGATGATCCAGCGTACCCTCAAGTAGTACCCGATAAATACTATTTTTCGATGTGACCATTTTCCCCCCTCCATGGCGCTAATTTTCCCCAAACGCGTGGCTTCTTCTTCCGAATTTTTCCTACCAATTGGCAAGTAATTGTTGACTTTTCGTTCTCTTCTCCGCTTGTGGTAGGTTCGAGGTAAAAAACTGTGAAGCGCACGCCTAAATAAAGTATTCTTTTTGCCAGATCAATCCAGAATGGATCAAGACTCTTCGCAGCAAAATGCCTCCAATGAGTCCTTCAACGAGGTCTTCAACGATGCCCCCGATTTGGAGAAGCTCGTCAATTTATTCCTGTTTGAGCCACTTCCCTCAAAGTTCACTCCACGTGTGTACTGGAAGATGGTGCAGCCCGATGGACCCGACCCGTCGCCGGATGTCGAGGATGGCCCCGCCGCCAAGCCGAAGACCGCGGCTCTAGAGGGTGACTCGCGGGAATGCCCTGAGTGTGGAACACCAAAATCGAAACATTTCAAACGTGAATAACTTGAGGAGGAGCCACCACTGGATCGACGTTAATCGGTTCACTCACAGAAATGTTCCTTAAACTCTCAATAAATATACATAACAATGTACTTATTCCTGGACTATGCAAAGTGGTCTTTGCGAGAAAGTTTAAGACGCCCCCCCCCCCCCCAGCCCCAGCCCCCGCCCCCGTCCTCTGGCCGCATTAGTATTCATAACAAAATGTCATATATAATATTTTTGGGTGTTCCGATGTCCAAATCCCTTTGGGCAACGCACTGCGTGACATCTTTGTTTGTGGTCGGACCTGCTGTACCCAAAAAATAATCCCCTACCCTTCTTAGGACCCTCCTGCATCCCCATCTCCGTCTGCCCGATTGGAAGGCGGCCCCTGGCTATTTGATGGCTTTGCAATCGTTCCCGTCGCTCGGTCTGTGCCCGGAATATCTAATGGATGCGTGCAACTAATTGAGTTGCTGGTTGCAAAGGGATTTCGTGGTGCTTCTTGAATTTGCAAATCCTTTTTTAAAGGATAAATGGTTTTTGTTCGGAGCCCCTTTCGACCAGGCTCAGTACTTAATGAAGGGAATGCGAGAGGATTTTGTGGCAGAAACAAACAAATTTCACGCAAATCCAAAAGTTAAGCCTGCAAACAGAAAACTTTTCAGCGAGGGTCGGCCGAGGAATAGTCGGATTGATTGAAAGGAACGAAAAGAGATCTAAAAGATGGAGATCGCCTTTGGTTTTCGGGTTGTTTCGCGAGCTTAAGGCCTACATCTATCACGTGCCCGACTCCTTGGTCTCTCGAGCTTCGTCTGAGAGATTGGTTCCTCTTGGTTGGAGACCTTTCGCTGACTCTATGAGGCTTCAGCCACTGAGATACATTGTTTTTTCCCTTGCTATTCAGAGAGGGTGTCGAATATTCGGTGGAGGACGCCCACAAAGGGCTGAACGTAGTCGTACCTTCCAGATCCCTGAGGTGCCAATCCTTGGGAGGCTTCCGCAAGAGCAGGGAACATGCTTCCACAGAGAACTCAAACGATAAGGTGAGGTTCGGTTTCTGTGCCTCCCATCGATGCCTATGGGGTCTCCGTGGAAGTTGGAAACTGTCTGAGGTCTGAGGGTAGACTGTACTACCGATTCTCTGCTATTTATTTGCTATAAAATGTCAATTCTTGGGCTATTTTTCTTCTTTTGCTGTTAGCTCCTCGAGCCCCACTATCGAGTCCATGGGCACTTGGAGGTTCCATTGGCGGCGCAAATGCTTCGGGAGGGTCGGCAGCATGAAGATCATATTGAATTTGTGGGCAGGGGGCACAAGGCCTTGCTGCCTCATGCGGCAGCAGATATTCAGGTACCGCAGATCGCCGCTCTGTCGCTCAATGGTGCACTGGAATGATGCGGTTAGAGTACGCTCAGATGGTTTGCTGTGGAGTACTTACGTTGGATGCCTGCTGGACCAGCTCCTCGGTCAGGTTCTGATTGGGTGGCACATCAGGGCGGCCCATGAAAGCTGGGGGAAGGGAGAGAATAAGTACGGGGATAAACGAAGCTGCAGTTCCACTCACGAGCTGCACGATCTCCAGAGAGAAAACAGGCCAGGCAGAAGGCCATCAGGATCAGGCAGTGCTTCAGGAAACGCCGAAGGCACGGATTTCCACTGAAAGGTAAAAACATAATTTGGAATTTTAGCTTTACTCCGTAAAAGCAATAGATGTTGAAAGTGTTTTGGATTTGTGGGGGACAGCAGGAACTGTGTGGATAACTCGGAGAAAACTAGATGGTTGAAAGGTGTACAGTTTTCCAGCCTTCTTTTGGCTGGCCCTGCCCCTAGTCCCCAGCCCCTTTGGGAAGCAGACGATTTTGTTGAAGCTCAATTACGAATGCAATTTATTGGAGGCACTACAAGTAAGAGCAAATGTAAGTCGATTCTTCACTCGGAGACCTCGATGATTCGAGCATTCTTGCAGACGATGGCATCCCGCTGGCCGCTCTGGACAGTGCCGATGATCCAGGCCGGGTGGCCATCCTGGGCCTCGAGGAGGCGGCAAAAGGAAGCGGCATCCTCGCGGGGCATGCAGATGAGCAGGCCACCGGAGATCTCGTGGCTAACACCGCGACGCAGGCGGCTCTGGCAGCAAGGTACAGTCGCCAGCTTGCCGATCACCGGCAGGATGTTGATGTTAAAGGACAGCGGCTGCTTTTGGAGGAGAGCCAGGGTCCTGGCATGGGCCAGGATGCCCCGCCCGGACACGGCCAAGGCCCCGTGGGCGTTGTGCAAGTGCATGAGACTGGCGGCCTTGCGGTTGAGGCGAGTCATCGAGTTGACAGCCAGCCGATAGGCCACACGGAGGTCCTCTTCGGTGACGAACGGATTGTAGCACTCCCAGGCCTGCGGCTGACCGATGCACCCGTAGGCATCGATGGCCATCTGGGTGCCCAGGGGCTTGGTCAGCACCAGGACATCGCCGTCCACGGCGTTGTCGCGTGCCAGCAGCTGGCTCTTCTCCCAGTGGGAGGAGGCCAGGCCGCCGGCGATGAACCAGTCGCTGTGCATGCACTGGGCCCAGGTCTCCCTCCCGCCGGTGGCCTGGAAGCACTGCTTGAAGCCCTCCTCCATCATGGAGTACACCACGTTGAACTCGCTCATGCTCATCCGGCGAGGCCTGCAGGCCAGCATCAGCATTTTGTCGCACTCGGTGATGCCCATGGCGTAGAGGTCGGCGATCGCGTCCGCGCAGATGATCTTCCCCACCTCGTAGGGATCGTCGATGACCGGGTAGTGGCACTCGACGGTCAGGTGGTGCTGCACTCCGGCCAGCAGACCGCTCGTGGTGATGTTCATTTCGCGCAGCATCTCCTCCAGCCGCGTTTCCGGCCACCGCTCGCCGCCCCACGTGTAGGCGTTGTCGGCAGGGCTGTCGAGCATTTCCGAAACCACTGATTCGGGCACCTTGCAGCCGGCTACCATCCGGTCGCCGTAGTTGGTCAGCCGGAAGTAGGCACTTAGGCCTCGAAGAACGGGGTTGAAGTCGCCCATTGTAAAATCCAAAGTATTATTTTTTTCACAAGCAAAAAGCGTTTGACAGCTGCAGGGCTGCTCAGAAACTTTCGATAACTGATGTCACGATTGGAACTTATCGATAGTTATAGTCTCTCTACGATATATACTGATAATACTGATAAGGCAAAGAAAATACGCTTTGCTGGTGAGATTTATCTTTGATAAACACTCCAGCAAATCCACATATCGATTGCATGAGTTGGCAGCCCTACTCTTGGCCAATGCAACCCTGTACTGGAAGAAAAATGGCCGCTGTTACGTGGAGCTGAAAACTTGCAAAGAATTCTCTATTTTGGAAGGTGCGCGTAGACCGAAAAAATGTTGAAAAATCATGAAATGGATCATCGGGGAGATATTATATATTTTTTGACGTTCTGCACCAACAGAAGGCTGTCACGCGCGGATCCTAGGCAAAATGCAGCCCTGCTCCCGCCCAACCGAACGAGGGACGCTGCCGCATGACGCGTGGCGCGTAGCAGAACCGAACATACAGGAAAGATAGTAGCTGTATTCTTGTTCCAGTCCCTGATTTCATTTTCAGGGAGGGATTCATTTTTCAGGGATTCAAGGGAGCTCTTTACAGACTTGGGCGATTAAGCCACCTAAAGGGCGGTGGATTCTTCCGACGGCGAGGAGGCTTTTTGATCTCTACTTGGGCTCTACACCAAGCAAAGATGTGATTCCTGGTAGCAGACTCACAGACTTTGGCCTGGAAGAAGAGGACATCAAGGCCTGTATCAACAGCGAGCCGAAAAGGTCCAATGGAGGATTCGAAAGCTCTAAGAATCTGGGATCTAGGAATATAGAAAGTGGTTGTACATTTGGCAAATTCTAGTCGGAATATTTATTCCCTTTTGGCAAACTTTCGCATCAACCCACTCGAACCCATTCGCCTGAGCCTCGAAGCCTGTCAATACCCAATCGACATCAAATACTAGCCGAGTTTTTTCCGTTGCGAAATAGTTGTCTGTTGTGGCCCCTTAGGGGGGGGCGGGGGAGTGGGCCACCCCTTTATGGATCCACCTGTTACCACGCACCTGCTGCTGCTCAATAATTGATGTAAATCTGTCGGCACTGTGAAGTGTCACACTCGTTGTCGTTGCTGTTTCCAGTTCCTTTTCCTGTTTTCTCTGGTGCTGAGTGCCTTGTTGATCCTTTTTATTCCGGTAGCCGTGTTGTTGTTTCAACCTGCAACTTGTTCACAACTTCCGAGGGTCCTTGCACGGAGTGTATGGTGCAGGGGGCAGGGGAAAACACCTCCACAGCTGGCGAGAAGGAGAAGATTGTAGCCAAGGGCTGCTCCAGACACAGAGGACGCAGGCCTATGGACACCAAAGGGGCAGGGTGTAAGCTCTTGGGGAATGATAAATAGCCAAGAGCTCAAGTGGCCCACCGTTGCAGGGCAAAAAGCTTCTCACCTTTTGGATAAAACTCGCAGGCAAAGGCTGCCCTGGATAAGCCCCCGAAAACCTAATGAAAATGAGATGAAAATTATTGCAACGTAAATCAGGCGCCCAGCTGGGACGCCCCCATCCACCCAGCAACCCAGAGGCGGCTCTCCTGGCTTTTCCCCCATCCCCCATCACCCATCCCCCATCCCGTCTAAACGTTTCCAACTGCTTAATTTGGCTTTCATTGCTGCTGTTCTTTCGCTTTTTTTTTTTTTGTTCTTTCCTTTGGTTCTCGTATCTTTTTTCGATTTCGTTGCGGCCTGACATGAATTATTTAACGATCTCCAGCTGCGTTGATGCGATTCGGCCAAGGATGCCTCCGAATTAAAGCCCTAACAAGCTTAACCGCAGAAGGGGGGGCCAGCCAGGAGCCAAACTTCATTTAATGCAACAATGTGTGGGTCAGAACAATAAGCGATTCAGCCCAGTATACTCCTACCGCTCCACCGTGTTCTAGCCATTTCTGTGGATGCGAGGACTTAACTCTTTGTGCCGACGCGACGCTACGTCGACTTTCCAATTTCAAGTGAAAAATCCCGCGAATGAACATGTAAACAACACAGTGGATAGGTGGAGCCGGCAAAGGGGGCGGGGGGGGGGGGGGACAGACAGACAGGAAAAACAAAAGGAAAACTCCCAAATGCAAAGAAAAATCGACTAAGAATGATTGTGGTTGAAACAGGGATAGAGTGGCCGAAAGGATGACCTGGAAAGGGTTAATGGAAGTATTTGGAGGTCGAATATTGGATAGGAGGAATGAAAGAATATAACACTACTACATTTATCCATATTTTAAGACCTGTAATCCCCCAAACTTGAATGAAGAACCCTGTCTAATTCCCCTTCAAACCCAGGTCTATCACAAGGCCGCCTTATCCCACAGATTTTCAAATATTTTGGGACTATATTCTTCAGTTCCTCGGAGCCCTCTTCATTCAGTCTTATATACCCTGTAACTGGCGAGTTTTTCCCCCTCACTGAGCCAAAAACCAAATGAAAATTTCTCTGCGGGAGGTCGGCCAGTGCTTGTATCTGTATCTGTATCTGCGAGCTGCAAAACTGCATTGGCCCAAAAGTGTATCTGCAGTGGCCATGTGTCGGCGTGCGTGTGTGTGTGTGTGTGTGTGTGTGTGGAGAACAGTTTGCAACAAACTGGCTCTCCGTGAGATCCTAAAACCAAATAAAATGCGCTCCGCAGTTGAACCCGCTTGAAATATATTTTTGGCAATGAAAATAACCTCCCACCCTCCCCCCCCCCCCCCGCAAAAAAAGGATACAAAAAGTTGTTATAATAAATGGAATGAAGCGCCAAAGCGTTGAGCTGCAAGAGAATGTTGCAACAGCAACAGAGTGCAACCAGGGCATCCTTCCTTGCCTGATAATCCCTGGGAAATTTGTCTAGCCTGGGCGCCCCCCCCGAAGCCACCGAATCCCTCCCTCTAAGGCTGATGAATGACGTCGCTGCTGTGCAAATTATAAGAGCAATTTGCATTATGTGGGTGGTGCCTCCGCGGCATTATCCCTACCCGAGTTCTGGGATTAGTTTCTGGGCGAATGCGTGGCGAATGAAATGTTAGGTTTCCGAGATAATAATGGTGTTTAAGCGGGGGATCTATTGGGGTCTCCTGGTGGGTTAAGGGGGGTCAGCGGGATGTCCTGGAATGGAGGCAAAAGAACTCGGAAAAGAGTCCATGCCTCTGTAACTACTTTTCCACCCACTCCTGCCTCACTCAATGCTCTCCCCAATTGATTTACAAGGCTCTTTCCTTGGATCTCTGACATCATCAGCTAGAAAATACCCATTTAAACAATCATCTAATTGAAATCGAAACCAAATGGAACCCATGCCAAAGGAAAATCAGCTAGAAACCCATTGAAAGCCCGTAGTTTCCACCCTCAGACGGGCAGATCCACGGAATAATTGCAAATACATAAATAAATTGATGGTGGATTGTCCAGGCTTTAAAGCATCATAAATTTTGCAATGCGCCATTAGCATGATTTATGCCCATTTAATTTTTCATAACAAAGGCAACGGCCACAGGACGCAGGACGCAGGACACACGGGATGACAAACAAGACACAGGCCGGCATTAGCAGGACAATAGAGAGGGGCTCTGAGGAGGGGGGCGGGGGGGATCGGAACTGCTGTAATCATAAACAAGAGTGCATAAAAAAGT